GAATGGGAAATCCTGGTTTGGGGAAAAACAAGGGATGAATGCATTGTGTTGAGGGTTCCTCCTGCCCAAGTCCATCTCTAGAAGTCCCCGGGCATCTGGGAGCCACAAAAACCTCCCAAACACCAATGCTCAGCCCTGAAAATGCCTCCCACGTGTTCCTGGGAATGGTCACTCTCCTTTGGTGTTTGGAGTTCCCCCCGTCCCAGCTGCTGGGGGTCACGCTTGTATTGGGGGTCCCCCATCTACTCGGTCCCCGCCCTCCCCAGGCTGCTGGGAGTCCCAGGAATCCAAAAAGCTCCCCCCTCTTCTGTCTCCCCATTTAGGGATGCTGGGGGATATTGGGGTCCTGGGGTCCCTTCTCCCCTTATTCTCTGCTTTGGGATGCAGGGGGTCCAAGGAGTCCCCCTTGCCCCTCTGAAGGCTGTTTAGGGTCCCAAAATCACAGCGCTCTCCCCTCTCTGGGCTCCCCACTTTCGGGTCCTTGGGGACACAGGGCTCTACTCCTCCAGGCTGCCTCTGCTGTCAGCTGCCACCGGGACCCCGCAATGTCCCCCCAAGGGGCATTTTCTGCTCAGATTTGGAGCTCTGTATTCTCTAAATTTCCCCCTACTTAACAAAGTGTCCTAGGGTGATGTTATGGTGTTTGTATCTCCAATCGTGTGTTCTTATTATGTTTGGTATTATGCCCTGTGCTTTCAGGACTGACTGAAAGTGAAGGTTTGTTTTGTCTTGTTATCAGCTGGCTCACCTCCCCCATGGTCTATGTTTAGGAGAGGTTTTAGCTCTGCTTGCTTGCCTGCTTGTTTGCCTGCTTGCTCGCTTCTGCCTCTTTTTCTTTCCTTCGCTTTGCCCTTGCTTTTGCTTATTAGTTAGTTCAGCTAGGCAGTCCAACTTTTTCCATGGACTGTTTTTTTTTTTCCACCCCGTCCCCTCCCTCTCCTGGGTACCATCTGAACCTGTTCCAGACGGGGACCTGGGAAACCCCAAGAAACACCGGGTGTCTACATTCTGTGACCTGCAGCAGTCATTCCCCAGAGCCGGAGACTGATAACTGGGCGACCACTCGCCAGAGAGACTGAGTTTGTCATCCCTTCAGAACGGTGAAAGAGTCTTTTTTTGTCAGCTGGTGTTGTTTTTTTCCTGTGCTGGGGAGTGTTTTGCTAGTTAAATAAACAAGTTTTTTTTTCCCACTCTTCTCTGAGGAAATTCTTCCCGAACCCGGTGGTGGGGGGGAGGAGTCGTGGGGTTTGCTGTCTGGGGGCTCCTTCCAGAAGCTTCCCCCCAAATTTGCCCTAAACCAGATCATTCTTAGAGGCACTGGGACTGTTCTAGGGGCAACTGGTTGCAACTGGAATCGAACTGGGGGCAAGTGAACCACACTGAGGTAACTGGGAGTGCCTGGGAAGGACTATGAGGTTGTTTAGGGCAACTGGGATATACTGGGAATGCCTGAGACCATAGGAGTAATAATGACTGGGACCTAACTGGGAGAGAGTGGGAAGAGGGACAACTGGACGAACTGTGAACGCAATAGATCAAAGAGCTGTTGGAAAAGGTACTCCTTTAAAACATTTTGTAGCACTATAACTGAGGGGATTCATTTGTCTTTGCCCTGGAAAAAGATTTTGAAGTTTCTTTCCAGAGCATTGCTGTACCAGGTGGGGTCTGATGAACACAACACATCAACAGACTGGGAGGTGCCCCAAAGATCAAGGGCCACCAGCAGCCATTAACAGAACATCAGCGGCCACCAAGGAACATCTACCCCAGACTCTGCCTTTCTCCTCTGAAAAGACTGATAAGAAAATCAGGGAATGAAGACGTAATTAACACCAGAAAGAAATTCCAATCCAAAAGGACACCAAATATTAGGAACTGAATATTTACAACTTGAGACCATTGAACATTGACCCAATTCATTTCTGTGAGTATTGACTGTATAAAAGATCTGAAAATTTTCCTGAAAAGGGAGTGTCATGGAATGATTCTGCACACACGGGCTGTTTGTGGATGAGATGATTTCCGTGGTACATCCTGGCCAGATAATAAAGTAATGCCTTGACTCTCTAAAGTTGTAATTGTTGTTGGAGGGTTTTTGTTTTATCTTGCAGTTTCGGTTACCGTGGGAGCAACTGGGACCGCGCTGGAGCAAATTACATCATAACAGGGAATGATTGAGAGTGACTGGGCTGGTACTGGGAGCAGCCACTCCCGGCTCCCGCACCCCCGAACCCCTTTCCCGGCC